CTTCAGAGATCTAATAGCTTATTCTTGCACCTGGCAAACATACATCTCTTTGTTGGATATTCCTGAGAATTTGGTGTCTGATCACCGTCGGAAGACAAAATTCCCAAGTTGATGATTTTCTGATTTCTTATTACCATCTGTTGGGCAGTTTTTGAAAGTTGTAAGAATAGTTTTTAATTTCATATCTCTTAGATGTGTAAGCCATAACTAATTTCATCGTCATTTCTTGTTGCTTTATCTTGTAGGTTGTTACTTTCAACGATCCAGATTTCCTGAAACAGCTCGAGTTGGCCATCAAATATGGCTTCCCCATTTTGTTCAAGGACGTTGACGAGTACATTGATCCGGTGATCGATAACGTACTGGACAAGAATGTTAAAGGTAACAATAAAAAGAGAAAAAATACTCTAAGCGATGAAATAACCTTGTTACTACTGCTGTCAGGCGATAAAAGTACTTCTCTTGTATGTATTTATTCGATACTTACAACAGCCCTCTAGACAAAGAAAGCTCCTAGAGGAGAAAGAAAAGATTCTGTATTGTTGGTACGACCGTATATTCTCGTAGAGTCTGATTTTTGATCGCTTGCTCTCGAAATTTAGTCACTAAACAACGGCCTATCAGATGCTGTGCATTACTCTCTCCTTACCTTTCGTCATAAAAAACGTCCTCAAAACTTTTTTTCGGTGGAACAAGGACGTCATTTTCAAGGGGTACAAATGACTTCGGCAATTGTTTTATTTGTAGAGCAGTTTTCAGTTGACCGTCGAAAAACCAAAACCAAAGTAAACCAAAGGAAATTCAAACTAAAAACAGGCGAAAAACTTAAAGCGCGGAAAAACGCGAGTGACCAAGTCGCCATTGGTGTTAATTTTGCGTCTGATTGTTTTAAAGGATAACGGAAGTTTTCCAGACCAATCACAAAGACAAGTAAAGCAAAAATAAAATAATCCTTGATTACTACGACTCTCAATGACAAATTTCTGTATGTACTGCGACAATGTTGTTGTATTTTTTTCCTATCAGGCGAGCCTGGCCGCGAATTCGTTGTATTGGGAGACAAAGAAGTGGATTATGACCCAAGTTTCCGTCTGTACCTGAACACAAAGCTGTCCAACCCCAAGTACACACCCACACACTTTAGTCGTTGTATGGTTGTGAACTACACAGTGACTATGAAGGGACTTGAGGATCAGCTGTTGAGTGTTATTGTGGGATTTGAGAGAAAAGAGCTTGAGGAACAGAGAGAAAGACTTATTCAGGAAACCAGGTGAGTTGTTCCTGAGCACCAATGATAGTTGGACATGTCGCTCTCTAGTGTTAAAAACGAGTCTTATTTTCATGGTGATGTAACATTTTGTTTTAGTGATAACAAGCGCCTGCTGAAGGATCTTGAAGACACGCTTCTTCGTGAGCTGGCTACGTCGCAGGGTAACATGTTGGATAATGTTGAACTTGTTCAAACTCTAGAAGACACCAAGTCAAAGGCTGTTGAGGTAATAATCTCGTTTGATTTCTATCGTTAAATTTTAATCAGTCCGAGCTACTCCCACAGTTAGCATGGAATGGACTTATCACTGTTTTACATCCTCTTCTTCGGGCGGGTCATTATGCTGTTCGTCTTTCATCCGATATTACTTAAGTCTCTATTCCCCACAAACGTCTTACTGAATCTTTTTGTTCTCTCCAGGTCGGTGAGAAACTCAAGCTTGGCGCCAAAACAGCAATCGACATCGACAAGCTGCGCGATGGTTACAGGCCAGCGGCAAAGCTAGGAGCAGTTCTGTTCTTTGTGTTATCAGAGATGTCAGCAGTGAATTCTATGTACCAGTACTCTTTGGCTTCCTATTTGCAAGTGTTTGACTTGTCTTTGAGAAAGAGCTTACCAGATTCCATTCTGCCAAAACGACTCAAAAACATCATGGACACCCTCACTATGAATGTGTACAATTATGCCTGTACTGGTAAGGGTATACCTCATGACGACCTATATGATACACTCAACCCTTAAACTTTCAGTAGTGATTAACATGTAACTCAGTTCTCCCCACAATATCCATACTTTTTCCAGCAAACAGGTGATGAGAATCTTCAGACTTATCAGATAGAGGTTGTTCTCTTGATCGAACACCAAATTTTCGTAACCAATTTACAAGGAAATGTGTCGCAACTAGAGGAGAGAATTTATAAATAAAACTTGGGAGTAAAGGGGGCAATAGTTTTTACCTGGGAGTAACAATAAATCGTGTGCTGTGATGATGATCCGGATGAAAGTAGTCCTGAAATGGAGTGTTGATAATGACAGTCACCGACGTTTTGACAACCTCAACAGAAGTTATTTTCAGAATTCAGGCCATGAGTTTTTTATCGATCGAATGTTTAAGTTGTGGTGCATTGATCATTTTTTTTCCCGAATACTATTGGCTGGAAGGGTTAAATAATCCTTACAGTTTCTTTTGAAAGGAAAAGCAAGAGGGATCGTTTGGTATTCAACAACATTGTTCATCACGAGTATCTGTATTTTTTAATCTTTAGGTCTGTTTGAACGCCACAAGTTGCTCTTTTCATTCCAAATGACCATCAAGATTATGGAGGCAGACGGAAAGCTTAACCCCGAGGAGCTGGATTTCTTCCTCAAAGGCAACATATCTCTTGAAAAGAGTTCTCGCTCCAAACCCTTCCCTTGGCTGCCAGATCAAGGCTGGGAAGACATACAGAGACTCATGACTGTGACTCCAGACGCTTTCAGTTCACTGGCGGATGACATTGAAAGGAATGGGAAAGACTGGAAAGAGGTATGACGTTCTAATTACTATCTAAACGTAAGGAGAAGGCTACGTGGCCGACTCACGCTTTCTTTGTAGTATATTGGAGCTTGACTGATCCGAATCCTTTAAAACTTGTATAGAAAATACTGGCCACAGTCTGGGTGCCACAAAGTCGTCAACTCTACTTAAAACGCACATGAATGAAGACATTATTTCAAGGTTGGATAATACCTCCATTTCATTTCTCTTTAGTGGTGTGACCAAGATGCACCAGAATCCGCCCCTTTTCCTGGTCGTTACGAAGAAAACCTGACAGACTTTCAACGTCTTCTTCTCCTGCGCTGTTTCCGTGTGGATCGAGTTTATCTGGCCATCACGAACTTCGTGACTGGCAGAATGAGCGAGAAATATGTGACGCCGCCTGTGATCAGTTTTGAGGCGATATTTGAGCAGTCCAACCCGTTCTCGCCAATAATCTTCATTCTCAGCCCCGGCTCGGACCCTGCTAGTGACTTGATGAAGCTGGCTGAGAGATCAGGCTTTGGTGGAAATAAGTTGAAGTTCCTTGCAATGGGTCAAGGACAGGAAAAGGTAACACCATTGATTTGCCTCCATTTGTTTGTTTTTTTTTTTAAATTTTATCATCATTAAGAGGCACACAAGCAGAGATGAGAAGGACAAAGAATATATATTCTCTTCTCTCCCAGACTCCCCTCCCGTCGCTCCCTACGTGGCATGCCACTCCGGCTGACTCGATTCTTATCCCTCACGCCTCTTGTAACCAATAATAAGGGAATAACATGACTTTTTTCGGGAATATTGTTTATTTGCGCCCGCGTAGTGTCATTTGCGGCCCGAGCGCGGGCCGCAAATGACACTACAAGGGCGCAAATAAACAATATTCCCGAAAAAAGTCATGTCATTATTATCAATAAACAAGGCCAAATGATATCAAGAATGCGAGTTTTAATAATACAAGCTAAGTGAATGACGAATTCAAAGTCACTTCAAATCATCATGTAAGTGTTGATTGAACAAGCTATTAAAGAATCAACTCAGTCCAGTGAACTTATTGAAAATTACCGAAAAAATGCCTAAAATCGTCTATAAATAATAGGCATATCACAAAGTTAACCTTAAAAATGTCCTTTCCGCCTGACCTTTTGCTTCTAATTTGTCCAAATCTTCTAGCCCCAAATCTGAGTTTTGACTGCTAATTTCTTCCATTACTTCAGTTTTCGCTCGAAGACGATTCGACGACTGAAAAAACTGCAGTTCAAAACCGGAGTTTCGCAAATGAATGGTTTTCCCGCGTCAACACTAGGCTTATTCTAATTGGTTAAAATCCATCGGATGATGAAGCAAGAGCCAATCAGCTGTAGGGCTGATAATGCATTAGCAGCCCGCTGTCAGTCTTTTGCGGCCCGCTGAGCGTTTGTTTTGAAGAGGCCGATTTTCTATTTGGCCGCGTATATTGATAATAATGGGCGATATGAGGATGAACAAGTCAGAAAGGTCCTATTAAATTGTTTCCAGGGTTTTAGAAATTGTAAAAGCTGTTTATGATAAATTTTAAACCTAATCTTCCTTTCGTATAGTTGTTCTATTTCGGTTCGTCCCAACTACAGTTCTGTCCGATTTCGAATTTAATTATTGTATGACGTAAACCACTTCAATATTCTTCCCTCTCTTTGCATTTGCAGTTAGCCCTGCAACTGCTTGAAACAGCGATCGCTCGCGGTCAGTGGCTGATGCTTCAAAACTGTCATTTACTGGTAAAGTGGTTGAGGGAACTTGAAAAAGTCTTGGAACGGATCAGTAAACCGCACCCTGATTTTAGGCTCTGGCTCACCACGGATCCTACACCGGAGTTTCCTATTGGGATCCTACAGAGGTCCCTCAAGGTAAGGTGATAAGTATTTGCAAGGAATCACCACATGATGTTTTACGAAACCTTTGAGGTATGTAGAGGAGGTGCAGTCCATTATGGTTTCGCGCTAGACTCTTGGTCGAAAGATCTTAGCTTAAGCCCAGGCTTAGATTGTGACCCAGCTCTCATTATTAGCGCTACGACACGAGCTTTGCTTAGCCCGCGAGCAAGTCTAAGTTCTGGAGCAAAGCAAGAGGTCTGATAAGGAGAGACACAATTCTTCTAGATGCTTCGTGTTTTAGAAACTAGGATAAGCCCAAGCGGTGCGAGCCTCTTGGTTCGCGGGAAACACTTGAATTTTTTTTACTTTTAGAGCCATGCTGACAGTTATTTCTTAACATTTCTGTCTGACTTGCATAAAACACTATTTTTTCAGGTTGTTACTGAGCCGCCGAACGGTCTAAAGCTGAATCTTCGCAGTACTTATCACAAGATTACCAACCAGGCGCTTGCTGACTGTCCTCACCAGTCCTTCCCACCGCTTGTGTACGTCAGAAATTGTATTTATTTACAATAAAAGCGCGCGCGAGGATCGTGGGGGTCATTTGATGGGATACTTCTCTATATTATTCATAAAGTGACTGTAATATCATTGAAGAGGTTTTAATTATTGGTATCACACTACGAAAGTCAAGTTTTCAAAGCATGTGTACCTTCCCGAGTTTTGCTCTGGATTCATGATGTCTTTTCTGGCCTGTCAATTAGGCAGATTAATTTGGTGACCAGTAACCCTGTGACTCCCCTGAGTGACCAAGACAGCATTTCTCTTCACAAAATCAATACAATATCAAGCAGACAAGTGATGAGAAAAAACGAAAATATCAATTAGGGGTTAGTGGTTGATCCAATACCAAATACTCCAAACTAACATCATAAGAATTGTATGTTAGACAGTAAGGAGAATTGCTAATGAGTTATTGGTAGGTAGGAAAGCAAGAGCCCATAATAATCACACAGTAAGAACAGGTTGGATTTCAACGAGATAGAGTATGAGATCTCTCTTGGCTGTTTTTTTTTTTTGCTTCGTTTATCAGACCTTTAGATTGTTGTGGTTTCAATTTATCTGTGGATGTAACAGGGAACCGGTTTTTTGTTTGCTAATTAGGTATGTGCTGGCATTCTTCCACGCTGTGGTACAGGAAAGACGAAAGTACGGGAAAATTGGCTGGAATATTGCTTATGATTTCAACGAGTCAGATTTCCGAGTGTGTATGACTTTACTGAACACTTATCTAACTAAATCACTGGAGAGTCCTGACAAGAGGATACCTTGGGCCAGTTTGAAGTATCTCATTGGCGAGGTGAGTCATTATTGACAAATTGAATCAGAGAAATATGGGTTTCGCCTTGTTAAAAAAATAAATACCATCTTTCGTCTATTACTTACCGACACGAACCTTTCGACATTGCTCGCCCTGGCAGTATGCTGGACGTGTGTCATACAAGAACCTTCTAATGGCCTCACTCACCGCCGCGTTTTCTGTTTCTCAGTGGTAGAGCATCAGAGCGCGGAATCCGAATGTCTATGGTTTGATTCCTCAGGAAAACTATGGATTTTTTTTTCTTTGTCTCACGTTCGGGACAAGACGAAAAACAAATTTATTGATTTCACCATCGAGCTTAAAAGTAACCATCTTTCCTATTTTAATAAATTGGATTTGTTGTAATGAGAATTGAATTTGTGGTGTTTTTCCTTTTTGTTCTGTAGGTCATGTATGGTGGACGGGTTATCGATGATTTTGATCGCCGCGTAGTGAAAACTTACATGGACGAGTACATGGGCGACTTTATATTCGATACCTTTCAGCCATTCCACTTCTACATGGGCGAAGAGGTGGATTATTTCATTCCCAAACCTGAAAAAGGTAGGCATTAATCTCACTTCATTTTTTTATCTCATCCCTTTACTGCTAATCTGTCCTCTCTTTGGAATTATTCCGTCAGTCCAAGACCCTGATCGTTTTTGTCAGTTTGGAAACTCTTCGGTCAGCCGAACAAGGGTGACGTCAATGAGATAATAGTCGACGTTTCGATAGTACAAGGCCAACTTACAAATTCGAAAGCATTATCTCTCAGTATGTGCACAATGATTAGTCAATTTGGCGGGCCATGTTTCACTGTACAGCCCGCTAAATTTAAAAGTTTGTTTGAACTGAAATCTTCCTCCTCTATCGGTTAAAACCCAGGAATACAAGAAATATCTTATTAACCTCGTTTTCTCAGTCTGTTCTATGATTTACGGACCCTCGTTTTTGCCGCTCAGATTTGTAGTGCAAAAGCTTCACTTTGGATCATAAATCCGTGCGGAAAAACTCCGTCTGTAACTTGCATTACGCACCTTGAACCCAGTTTGTAAGAGAATTTATTCAACGTTTAAGTGCGTAACACAGAATAATGTATCAAAACTTTTCACTATTTTAGATGCTCCGGAGTGTAACCGAGACTTATACGTGGACACCATTGAGGATTTGACCCTGTCTAACACCCCTGACGTCTTCGGTCTGCACCCCAACGCGGAGATTGGTTACTACACTCACTCAGCCAAGGACATGTGGAACCACTTGGTGGAGCTGCAGCCTCAGACCGGAGGAGAGTCAGGAGGCATCAGCCGGGAGGAGTTTATAGGCAAGATCGCCACGGACATTCAAGGCAAGCTACCTCCTCTCTTTGATGTGGATCGGGTCAGGAAGAACATCACAGACATCACGCCGACGTATGTGGTGTTACTGCAAGAGCTGGATCGGTTTAATGTCTTAATCAGGAAGATGTCAACTTCGCTTATCAACCTTCAGAGGGTGAGAAACTGTAACTTTTTTCCAGTGGACACTCAAAAACTAGCGCACATTCGGAAAACGTTATTCCAGATATTTAACGTCCTCAAAATTTAACAGTCAGTTGGTCCAAAGCGATCCAGAATCACAGACATTGTCGGTTATTATCCAATTTTGGATGCTATTGTTTGCTTTTGGACGTTAATGTCTGATTTTAACGCAAGTGTCTGAATGCCGACACCAGTTTCCGACTCTAGACACTTGCATTCGATTTTAGGCACTAGTGTCCGGTCTTGGACACTAGTGTTGGATTTTAAACACGAGTGTCCGATTTTAGACTTAAATGTCCGATTTTAAACACAAGCGTTCGATTTTGGACACTTGTGTTTGATTTTAAATACTAGTGTCTGTGTTTAAGGCCAGTCTTAAAGCTACCGTCTGATTTAAGACACTAGTGTCCGATCTAGATGACGTTAAACTGACAAAAATTAACTCCCTGTACTCTTCGTGCCTGTTGTAATTATCGTTGGCCTCAAATGTTTAACTTATATTTACTATTGTACTATTGTTTCGGTACCCTTTTAATCAGCTGTGCATTCATTTAAAATATGGTAATTCTCTATACCAGGCTCTTGCGGGGGAAGTAGGAATGAGTAGTGAACTGGACGAAGTGGCACGTGCTCTGTTCAATGGTCAGCTTCCTAGTATTTGGCGCAAGCTTGCTCCAGCCACACTTAAATCGCTCGGCAACTGGATGGAGCATTTCCTCAAACGCCTCAGCCAGTACAACAAATGGGTTAGTAGTCGTCTGACACCTTTGATTATTAACATTTTGATATTAAATTAGAGTGTCAGCTATTTATTATGGACTGGCTCGTATGAGCACTTAAAAGAGGTTGCTGGTGGGATGTCAGTGAATTTGACTACATTTATCCTCTGTGGAGAAGAGTAGAGTTCGTCTCAACCAATCAAATATCAGGGTCCTCAAAAGCTCGCATATTTGTTTGATTGTGTTCGTTTTGGTTTTTTGTATGCGCGCTCCTTGCTTGCATTCTCTTGCTTACATTCTCTTGCTTACGGGAAATCTGTTGGGCGATCTGAACAAATCAGGTTCGTTACGAGCTCATTTGCTTGTTTCCTTTTATTTTTATTTGTTTTGTTTCCCCACTGACTCGGAGAATATATTTTGTGATCATTTATTTGTATGTTATCCATTCAAGAAGAGAGGACTCGCTTACCAGGAAAACAAAACCCGATTTTTATGTAGGAATCACCAAAAATAGTGTAGATTGCCTCAATGCAGGAAACCTTTTCTGATAACTATTGGGACAAATTCTCATTTCTCTTGTCATAGGTGAATGACGGTGAGCCCGCAGTGATCTGGTTATCCGGGCTACACATCCCGGAGTCTTATTTGACAGCCCTTGTGCAAGCCACCTGTCGTAAGAACGGCTGGCCTCTGGATCGGTCCACACTGTACACCACAGTTACGAAATACAAGACCGCAGAGGAGGTCACCGAGAGGGCACATTCTGGCTGCTTTGTGAGTGGACTATACCTGGAAGGTGCCTCTTGGGACTTAGAGGCAGGGTGCTTAAGAAGACCCAAACCGAAGGTTCTTGTTGAGGAGCTGCCTGTCTTGAAAGTGATCCCAATTGAGGGACACAGGCTCAAATTACAGGTAAATAGAAATGTTTTCCGGTGCGTAGTGGTCTTTGAACCAGTAGCTTAATGTTCATCCTCTCCCAAAGGGTTTGCGTTATTTAGCAGTTGAAAGCTAAAGCAGTATTGTTTATCTTATTACCCGTGCGACGCCCGCGCACGCTTTTATTGAAAAATAAATCTCCGTATGAGGGCCGCGTGCGATAGGGCCCCGCCGTAAAAAGCTTTAAGGGCCAGGGTACGGCTCTGCAGAGGAATGCAAGAAGAACGGAAAACAGAGAAAGGTCGTGGTCATATAATAAAATGTTTATTGACTGATTTAGGTTCAGCTGGTCGGGAAAATATTTGGCTCTCGGTTACCGTTATGACTTGTTCTCCCACTCAGCTTATGATAAAATATTTGTTTCAAGTTCATTGTTTGATTCAGTTGATCCTTCTTTCTAAGGGGACCCTTGTGCGTACAAATGTGTTCCTTGATTTGAGGTTTTCCTTCAATGTTAATATTAGATTAACAGGTAGGGGACGTATGTGCTTCAGTTAGGACTAAACTTTGCGTTTCTAGAGTAGAGATTTCCACTGAAGGGAGGTTTCCCATTACAGTTGCTTCATTGTCCTTGTTGCGCCATTCTGAGTCTAGTTTTTTGTTAAAAGCGAGCGTTTACATGTCTAATTTTCCCGATCTTTTCCTTTTAACTCCCGTTTAGCAACTGCGCTTACTATAACTCAAGTGTAAGCATACAATATCTAATTTTTTTCCTTCTTTTTTGTAGAACACATACCGCTCACCCGTGTACACAACATCTCAGCGTCGTAACGCAATGGGAGTGGGACTGGTCTTTGAAGCTGACCTGGCCACTCATGAACACATATCTCACTGGGTATTACAAGGTGTTTGCCTTACACTCAACTCCGACTGAAAGCTTCTCTTGTTAAACTGTTAAACTCACCTCCAAAATTAAAACCCTGTGACTAGTGAAACTCGCCTCCAAAATTACAACCCTGTCATGGGTGAATTTGGTTTACCTTCGTGTGTTCTGTGTGGTTTGATTCCAGGATGGCTGAATGTAGTATCGTTGTTTTAGGTGCCTGATCTTATTCTCTTTTTCAGGCGGTTCATATCACATTGTAGTTTTTAGGAGATCAAGTCGAGAAAGCCTAATATAAGCTTAATCGATTTAGCTTTAGTGAATGAATTTTTGTAAATAGCAGAACAGTTTACCTTACCATACCTTTCATTCGCACCCAAACATTACTCGTAATATCATTCTCCAAGTTGGAGTTTTTCTTGAGTGAAAAAATAGAAGAAAAACAGTTTAAAAATGATTTTGTTGGACGTGTATGATGAGTGCATTTTCAAACGTTTTTCGTAATAAAATTACTTCATTTTGCCTTTGAAAAGGGCTCTCAAATCTGTTTTCCTGTACTGTCTTTGCGTGCAGTCCGTAAGACATTTTCCAGCATATTCATACCGGAAATAGAGGGAAAGGATTTCAGTTTATGGTAACTACTATGTGAAAGAAATTACACTTTGGCCTGCGGACAATGGATGATGAAATGTTATTCTCACAGGCGAACTTCAATTTGAGAATTTTTCGAGCTTTAAGTACATTAGGGAGCGAGGCAATTTCCTCGTTTTCGAGTGACTTCGTAAAGCATTTGATGATGGCGGCAAACCACTGTCTGAGAGACACAGGGATAAGCCTTCATCGAAGCCTTATTTTTTTTGGCTTATTATCTTTATCTTCTTGACCTCTAGTTAACTTCTAGATAGAAATTCGCTCGTGATACTTAGGGCCAAGTTGTTTCTCCCTTACTGCCCTTATTTCCGTCAGCCGTTTTCAAAGATTTTTTTTTCTCGATTCCTGAAAGTGATTTGGAAGCATTAGTTAAAAGGTGTGGTCATTAGACCCTGAAAAACAATTTTCTGTCTGGAAATAACAGTGTCCAAGCTTTTTATTCAATTGTATCATAAAAAACTGTCAACGATTTCCTTCCCTTTGGTTAATGCTTAAAAATTGGTTTCATAAATTTTAACGACTAATTCTGGCGTGGATCACTATTACCCCTGATTTTCTTCGGTTCCCTTCAAATGGTTTAAAAAGAATGTTTAATTATTTCTCGATATGTTTTGATTATTTTTGACATGGCAACATTACAGCCACGTAAAAACACCCTTACTTTTAACTTCATGCGCTCGTAACTCCAAAAGAAGTTCGAGTTTTTCAACCAGTAACTGAAACTTCATTTGAAGATGATAGATAAACGTTATGCTCAAGTGTCCGTCAGTTGAGGTCTCTACCAATCCAAAATGCGCGGATGGTAACAGATTCCAGTATAACAGTATTTCATGGAGCTGATAGGCCATTTTACAGTTGTTTATTTCGTTGCCAAGCCTTTGACTTGGAGTGAGGCTGAAGGTGACCTTGTTTCGATAGAGACAAGTATCTAGTTAGCATGATAACAAAATAATTTATATGTAAAAGGAAGCAAAAATGTCACCCTTAGCCTCACTCCTGTTCAAAGGCTTGGCAACCAAGCACGCATCTGTAAAATGGACTGTTGTTGTTTCTGCGAAACTAAAGTGCTCTTTCATTTTCCCCGCAATTTTTTTTCTTTCCAGGTTAAAATATTTAGCGCTTTTGAACTGAGAATCCTCATAGACGAGTCTTTTCTCAAGGAAATACCTGCCAGCGGTCAATTTTAATCATACAACACGAAGCCCTAAGCGTGGGGAGCAGATCTGCATGTCTAATAAAGTACCTAGTACATGTGTATCACGATTATTTTAAACCAATCACCTACCGAGGTTAATTACCCTAAGTTTTTCTGTGGCTTTGTTCACATTGCGTGTGAGTTTGAGATAAAATCGCTCAGTATTTGCATTTCAAAAGAAGAAGTGGGGGGTTCCCGCTAAAAACACAAAAATATTCATTTGAATAAATCACTGCAAAATAACATTTAATTATTCATCTTCTATCGACAACTAACAAGCATGGCGGACGAGTTCAGAAAGTCAGCGTAGTTTGTGGTTTTTCTTTGGCAAAGAAAGCTCCCAACTCAGCGTTCTTGTCCTTGGAAGGGAAAGTAATGTTGGGCACAAGATTAGCACAAGAAAAAATAGATTTACGGTTTCAAAGAAGTCAGTCTTGGAACAACAACTGCTAACACGTGAATCTAGGAGAGTCAAAGATTTGTTCTGTTGGAAATACAGTGGAGGCATTAAAGGTAAGGGATATCAATGAATTAACAAAGCTTGTTTTATTAAACAGTCTGTGCATTTTACAATTTATAGATATTTTTCGTTGGTGGAAATAGCTTTTGGTTTGATAAAGAGGACACTGTGATTATTCATCCACAATCATGGGGAGGGGGGGAGGGAGAGGGATCGGGAAATGTTCATGGGCAATTCCATTCTGCTTTTTTTCTTTGAGTAGAGGGGCTAAGGTCACTCTGAAATCTTGGCAACTAAGTTAAAATGCTAGAAGCCGAAATTTGTATTAGTTGTGTTACATCAGCGATTGATTCTGTTGTTGCTTTGTTTTTTACTTGCCATATAATAAATCCTTTGCTGATCAATCTTGTTCGCCTCCTCCACCCTCTCCTGGGGAGTATAGTTGCAAATCCTTTTTCGTCTCGGTCCATAAAACGTCAAAAATAACGTAGCCATATTTACACTAAACTCTGCTTCCGCACGAAAGCCTTAAAAACAGATCGATTACAGTCGTCGTTAGACTCGGTCTAAAAGCTACTTTTTCTGTAACATTCAGTCTAACGTCAAGCGTGATTCAGGAGAGCTTAGGGTGATTCCTCAGAAAAAAAAAAAGTTATTGAGCAATTTTTATCAGACTTTCCTTAAATGTTCCCTACCAACGCTTATTTCGGAAAATTTCACTAAGAAGGACAGGTCATAGTGCTTGTTTGATAGATATGGTAGGCCAATCTTACCCCATCTATGCCTGTGCTGGCACTAATCATTTCATCAATTCACGGTGAATTTTGCGGTTGCTGGAAGCAAAAGTTTTTTTAAAGCAACGCTTAAAAAAATCGAGAGGTAAAAAAGTCTTGAGCGTATGGAACGATTCAGAGATATATAATTTGTGGAAAAAGAAGGCAATTTCAAGTGACATCGACGCTGAAGGTTCCTCGAATCGTTCTTTCATGGTCAAAATTTGCATCCTCGAGTAACGGGCGTCTTGCGCGTTTTTCCTCCAATGAATAAATTTTTTAAAGTTTCTCCGATTTGAAGGGGATAATTTGCACAACAAAATTATGCAATAATAACCATATGTCACCACGCTCGTTCAAGAGCTAAAGACCATTGTTTCTCTTTACCTGGTCCATTGGTTGAAAAACAATGCTGTGTTCTCGGAATGCGCTCGCTTATTCTGCTGATTACGTGATTTTCATGTGCAGTACAGGATGCACAGTGCAATACTGAGGAATCACCTCAACGCGTTTTTTATTTTTCCCGTAAGTAATTTTTTTGTTTGAGCCTTTTTAGTAATTGCTTAACCTAGTGAAACGAAATCGATGTGAAGCCCAAGAAAAGCAACAACACCAATAACAAATATACATGCAATGATTCAAACCATGGTAATCTTCTTTATCAAGTGAGTCGTTACTGATCTTACGGATTGTCAACTTTTTAAAAGCGTTTTACAAAATTACGAGGTGAACAGCTAAGATGTTTCAAACACCTTTGACGTTTTGCTTTGCAACGTCATGACGAAAACGTAGGGGCCACTCCCTTGTTGGAAAACCAAACCCATCGTCAAATTAAAGGAATGTCATCAAATCATTTTCGGCTATAAACTTACCAATAGTTTATTCTTGCTTTCCAACGGAAAGAAAAGCTTTTGTCTTGGCCATTTTTGTTCAGTCTTCAGGAGGCGTCTAGGGATAAAATGAATTCCTAGTTCGTTTTGGTCAGTTATTCGTATCAAGAAATGGCCCATTGTTCCGGGTAAACTTTTCCATTAAGCATCAAACAAAAGTCCTGAGTAATTGGTAGTCCTGAGTGACTTTGGCCGAAGGGAGACGGAAAAGCTCGTAACTGATCGAGAAAATTATCGGAGTGACAATTCTGCTGCACTGGGGGTGAAGTGTTGAGGTGTATGGACAATAAGGCATTATTAATTTTTTTTAATTCAAGAAAGCTAACGGTGGTGTGATTAATTTCAAAACCAATTCTTTAATGTATCGATCGTACTACCGCTGCTCCTCGAGCTTTCCCTCAAAAATAGTGTATAAAGATTATTCAATTACTTCTAAACATGTTTTCATTATTTTTATGACATTTAAATTTGTGATGGCAACATCAAGACCCCTTAGAAACACCTTTAATTTTCAGTTTTAAGTGCCTTGCTTGTAAGAATAATGAGGTCGGAGACCCCTGTTTTTATCAATGGATTGCACTCAACACATCAATATTTATCAATCTGGAACATTTTGAGCATGCAGTTCAGAGCCATCCTTATATCATCACGAAACATATTGCAAATTTTATGTACCAAATAATTAGTGTTTCAAAATAATGAAATCATTATGAGGCACCTTGGATTGACGATGAAATGTTTTTCATACCGTGGAATTGTCAGGAATGTTTCCAGCACAGAGAGAAAACAGTTGAAATTATTTGGTAGTATGAAAGTTATATTGACGGGTTTCATTGAAAATATAAGGTCTAAGTTCATTATTTGACATTGGGAGTGGTTTCCGTATAATTTCATGGGAATCTGCACAGTACTAACTCGCCGATTTCGAAAAGATTTTCTGAAATTCTCGCTCTGTATTCTAATAAAAAAAACACTTCAAAATTCAACATTGAAATTCATTGACACCTCGTGAATTTGTAAAACATTTGATTTCCATCTTCTTTTACTTTTGCACGTAGATGTTCGGCTTCTCATGAGTAGTAAGATTAATTTTACAAAATCGCGAGGCTATCACGACACTTACCACTGCAGAAAGTTGAGATAAGATACAAAGCTGCATGAATCAAATTAGCGAAGAGAGTAATTTGGATTTCGTCTTATGGCGTTAAAAATCAGAAAACAAAAAGGCAAATAAAGAAACAATGCTACTTACGGTTATAATAATATTGTATTAGTATTCTTTTGCGGCTCGTGCATTTGTTGTTCTGCAAAGAAATTTCCACAACCTTCTAGAAGTAAAATGTTTATTCCAACTAGGCTTATAGCAATCTGCATATACGGGTTACATGTTTTTGTAATCTTTTAAAACTATCAACCTATTGATCGGGTATGCAGACCAAACTGGTGAGAGTGTTTCATGTTTGATTCATTTGTTGATTGTTTTTGTTCGTGTTATTTTTTATAGATTGCTGGATAACAGAAGTCGGAATCAAGCACAAACACTTTAGTGTGATGATCTTCCAAGTCAAGAAGAAGCGTAAAGCAGAGGTAGAAGATAAATTTTACTACAATCCCCACTTAAGTCAACTTTCGAGCTAGGTTCGTCTCATTTCCAAAGACCTTTTTTCTTTCTCGGATTGTACCAAAGTTGAATCAAGTAAATGTCAAGTAAAACAAAATTGCTGAGATATTCTCTCTGTTCTTTGAAAGATTTTTCAGCAAAAAATTTGCTCAATTAATGCTAGTCAACTTTTTTCATCAAGGCTATTTCCTAGGTAATACCCATTCAATTTTGTTTGTTTTCCCGCCAAAAGACTTAAAAACAAAAAATACGCATGCGTCAGGGTTTTTTGAAACTCTGTGAGTAACATCCGTTTAAAATGGCGTAATTTTCCCGCCAAAAAAACTTAGAAAAAATACAGGCGCTCAAAATACGCATGCGCCGATTTTTTTTCGTATAATATAAATAAAGGATATTTTCAAGTTGTGTATCTCTTTTTCAATAAAAGTCAATAAACACTGCAATGTTATTAGCAATCTTTATTTTATTCTCAAATTTGATAAACAATACCAGTCTTTTAAGTTTGAATTCTTTATTCTCTTCAAATATTTCTTAATTAGTTAAGTGAATTTCCATAAAATAATCAAAGTGTCGAGAAAAATTCGTTCAAATATATACTAAGACTTTTGGCGGGAAAATTTAGATCAATTTGCACAGAGTTTCCCCTAACAACATTTTCGACAAAAATTCAAAATGGCGTCCCTTAAATTTTACGCCAAAATTTTTGTGAACATCACCTTGTGCAAAAAAATGTCATACAATAATTTAATTTTGAACTAATTTCTGATAGAATTTTTGAGGAACAGCTTCCTCACCGAAGTATTTAAGTGTTTGACTTTTTTTGTACAAGGTGATTTGAACTCTAACGATAAGGAATATGGCAAGCTGAATTTTCCTTGTTTCTTGCAAACTGTTTTCTTCAAGATTTCTAATTTCCTTAGAATACCTATGAAAATGCCTAAGCTTGCCATGTTGCGATTAACAAGACCTTTTTCAGCCATATAATTCGTTGTCTTTCCCGCACAGGACGAATTTGATGTAAACTGGCCAATAATTCGAGCCAAATAAATTTTTATCAACAACCAAAATGATCGTGAAATATATTTTATCCTTTGGGCCAAGTTAGCTGTGTTTCCTTTTTGATCAAAAATTGATCAGACATTTGATTGACTCCAGGTATCTTTTTCAAGTTATTTCAACAAGATTTTAGTTGAACCTAAGTAACAAAATTGTAGGCTGAAAGAGGTCTCTGTATGTTACAAATGATAAGATAAAACCCCAAGGGCTGGTTCAAAGTAGACGATTATCAAATAAACATATCTTTCAAGTAGTGTTGCATTCGACGAAAACACTTTGTCACCAGTTATACACCACATTAAGACGTCTAAAACTCTAATCATCAAACTATTTAATTTTTCTCTTTTCACCAGATGAGCAAAGGAAATGTCCTATTCGTTAAAAGCTCTGAACTTTTACCAGAAACTTCTACAAGACAAACATAACTGAAAAAGGCTTGGTAAATTTCCTTGCGCTTGAGTTTCTGATTTTCGATGCAGTTTTTGTTGATTGTTTAAGCACTAGAAAGGGGCAGTTGTTTGTTCAATGAAGAACTTGCAATTCTACAAAGTATTGCTTTTCGTATAAACGATCAATTTTGTGGTCTGTATTACTTGTAAATTAAGAACATCTTTGAGAATCCTCCGAACCAGACAGTAGATTTTATATGCTTAAGTTTTACATGGACAAGAGAACGTAGGCAATCGGGTTTTCTTAAGGGATCAAAGATTTTTATCCTTTCAATTGGTCGGACCTAGCATTATTCGGAGCAGTATTTCAGAGATGTGATTGGACAGTTTAAGCCATTCTGTTCGTTTCATTGTTAATGTAATGTAGTCAAAAGGTCAGGTTTTAGGTTGTGGAAATCTGTTGGGAGTTGTTTTTTTTTCTAAAAGTGTCTTACGTCAGTCGGTCAAAACATCAAGAGCTGTCGCACCAATACTGAGTCCTCATTTCTCTTTGCAGCTAGTTTCGCCGATGTAAGAGGTTGGAAATTGGAGCAAGTGATCTTGTTAACCAGTTTCTGTTTTTTATCTTAAATATCCAAGCTCATTTTCAACATGGCTCAGTGATGTTTCGTCTTACATCGTCAACTTGGTTGCTTTATGTCAAAATCAGGTCAATTTAAAGATCATGGTTTTCTTTCGTCAACTTCCTGGTGTATTGTAGACCAGTCTCGATTAGCTGTAAAGTTGTACGAGATGTCGATGTTGTAGGGTGATTTTTCTAACAATCTGTTGACATATGTTGGTTTTGTACACTTCCTACTAAAATTTTTATCCTCTTCAACACTTTTTTTTTGTGACTGGTTATGTCAATGTTCCGTCAGTAAATGTATCATTTTATCACGACGGTAAGTGTATCGTAACCAAGGTGGTGTCGTTTCGCTATTTTTTTTTTCCAGTAAAACAAAACTGTCCAATTTACACTTTGATTGCCACTGTTCTCTTGTCCATTATACAAATATTAGCGAAGCAAATGTGTGAATTTTTTTTGGTGGCACTGACCGTTGGATGAATTTTAACACGTTTTCCAAGTAAAGATAAATTATCGAAAGCCAGAACAATGAATACAATATTGTTTCATGAATAAACGTTGCTTTGACAACAAAAGTGAAACATTGTTTTGAGAAAGATTTGAATTATTTTGTTCGCACTGTTGTCTCTTTAAAAAGCCGCTCTCTGCTCATTTTCACTTTCAGTTTTTTTTCCTAAAATGTCATTGCTTTCAGTGCCACCTTAAAAAAAAATCCATCTTCACTTGGTGGCTGCCGTCGCCCTAAGTTTGAGTCTTTTTTCGCGTGAATCGCCACTCACCTCATTCCCCCTTGGCACTTTACCGTTTTACTTAAGATTCTATTCTGATCTTTATTACTCTGGTTTAATATAAAATCAAATGAAATTCCCTGGTAAATCTAGAAATGTTGGCAGCCACCATTTTCACTAGATTAGAACAATTTCAGAGATCTTATCTTTGTAGTTTCTTTAGCTTTCATTGATTGCAATTTCTCCTCCTGTATTCTGTGATCTTTAGTCTTCTTCATCTTCTTTATGTCTTCCTGCAACATAAATAGGCAATAAAATATTGAGTCGGTTGGTAAATTTTAAACTTTCCAAATCATCGCTGATGGCAAATGAGTGTGGAAGGGGAGAGGTGAAACGAGCTTTAAGTGTGATAGAATTCGAGAGGCAAGAACGACGTTCACAGTGGCTTCACGGAGTACATTGTTGAAGCTGTTTTTGAAAAGCTCTGCCACAATTCGCCTGCAGGTCAGGAGTAGCCTTGAACACAGGATTTAAACGCACGTGACTGCGTTCTACGTGAATCTTATGCGCCATCGCCGCATTTTTTTCGAAATATAACTAATTTCAAGCAATTTCCTTTAAAAGGTATGCAAAGTCTTTCGTTTAACTAAGGATTAAGGTCAGTTTCTTTTACTTAGGCATTAACACGATCGACCCGAGTTGCTCGAAGTCGGAGGCGAAACATGAAGCGAGCCGAAAGTGCATTCCTTCACCGACTAGTTGTTTCTACCTTTAGAGTCTGAGAAAAACATTAAAATGGCAATCACCAAGGAACAACCGAATGCTTACCTTCAAAGGTCTTCCAAGCGCCAGTCCAATTCCAAGAGCAAGCAAACTCTCGGCGAAATGTGTCGTTGTAGTAACACGTCCTCGCACGTCCAAGACCTGTTTGGTTTGAGAAAACTTTACAATTTGCTATGAATATTGAATATGAATCAGACCAATCAATGATGGATACGTCACAATAACGACGCGAATTCTGTTCACACGCCCTAAAGGAGGCCTATCAGAAACT